ATTCAGGGGTGTCCAAAACGTATGAATTCTCGCAGAGAAGGAAAAAAATTGGCAAATTTCTTTTTGGAGTCAGTGCAAAAATTTTAACATGTTTTATACAATCTGTAAATTACAATATCTGATTCTATATTCTTTCGAGAAAAAAACAGCGTTTATTTCGTTCGTTTATCACAGAAATTGCAGAAATAGGAGCAAATTTAGTAAGTGACTACAGTTTTTACGATTTTCTAAACGCGGGCATTTAAACAATTCCGTACGGCAGCCACAACCGGAATTTAAAGGGCCGTAGGATAAAGGTTAATTTTCAGTGAATGCATCGTGTTGTGTATCATATATTACTTCTTACTGAAAACAGTCATAACACAACAATCAATATTACATGTAAGTAGCTCTAGGAGATGCTTTTGCTACATGTTTCCGCCTTCAGAAGGCCATCATCAGGCAAATACCTTAAACTTTTCGTTATTGAATTGCATGTCAAATATAGGATACAGTGCCGAACTTCCAAGTATATACAGTGGTATAAAATTATATGAATGAATATAAAATATAAATTACAATAAAAGTTGGAAGTCTTAAAATAACCAGTTACATAGTCAAAAGGACAGTTAAAAGTTGTATATGTGATGGTATTTGGAAGTTGGCAGTTGTAATCGTAATATATGTAATGCTTATATGCACATACTATATACACAATGGCTGATGTGGGTTATTAAATAACAACATACATCCCAAATCAGTTGTATTCTATCTCTCCATCAGATCAGACATTTACACAATGGAGTCGCCTGTCAGATAGTATCAAATATTAAACAAGAACATACAACATAACAACGGGCCTCCGGACACCACATCAGCCATTGCTTAACTAATTTAGCACTACACCATGAAGGTGTATGGGGGAGTGGAAGTATAGATCCACATTTTCTTCATCCGGCACTAGCTGGAAGTGAGTGGTCAGCTTTACGCTCAGGCTGCTTTATCTCCAGGGGAAGAGACCCCAGTACCCACTGAATAGGAGGTTGTGTGGACCCAAGAATCAGTCTGTATGATGTGGAGGAGAGAACTACTGGGACTCGAGCTTTGACCCTTCGGTCATCCAGCCCATAGCTGGTCATTATACCAACTGCACTATCCCGCCCTCCTTGTGATAAATAATACACAACTTTATTATAAAAACAAAATACCGCCTCTAAACTATCATATATTCACAGTAAAAGAACCAAAACTACAGACCAAGAAAGTATTGACAACTAAGTAGACATGTGAGCTCAACATATTTCATTTGTTTTGTAAGCAAAGGGATGCCATCTGGGTGCAGAACTATAAAATAGACAATGGATAATTAGGTACCATCTTCTGCTGCCACCTTTGAACCATTTATATATCTATGTTGTGCCACCAGTTATTCCGTGGTGACAGGGGGGCGTGGAGGTATCCCCACTGTCACCTTCTGTACTGCAGTCACAGGGGTAGGTCTAAGGAAATGACTAAATAGCTTCCTCTATCGTTTCATTGGCTAGGGGCTCACTGTTCACCGGGCTTGGCTGGAGGGCGCGGGTGCGAAATGTGGTAAGGGAGGAAATCACCACAAAAACCCACATCCTCACCCTATGCTACCCTATATTAGTATAAACACAATCAATATACAGTTATATACATTTTGGTACTATCACAATGAAAGAGCCGACTGGTGTCGGGTTACACATTACACTTGGCTACATCTGTATCACTCAGTTGGATCACTCTTACGCCCTGTACACTTGTTCTGGCGTTCCTAACTCAAGTCCCATTGGAGGAGATACACTTTAATAATATTACAATTATTAGGCATGGCGATAAGAGTAGTTCCACTTACTTGGGTTGAATCTGCAGATGGATGGCGTTGCCGGGTGTCAAGTCGGTGCCCATTCTGACATAGCCTGCGGCTGCAATTAGCCAAAACTACTGTTACAATAATCCCCTTACTAATTTGGTCTCTGGGTTATATACCTTTTTTTATGCTAACTCGTTATTTTCCTGGGGGGTGCAGTTCCGCCTCCAGTGACGTCTTGTCCCAAGGTGGGTGATCTCGTTGGCTGGGATCCTAAGGGGACACACCCCCTTCTACTGCTAGACCATTTCGCTACACTTTTACCTCCAAACGTCCCCCCATCACACAAGTGTAAATTCTGTAGTTAGCAGTTCGATATACATTCAACGTCATTCTGCTGACTGGGCATTCCCCGTGGCAAGCCAATGTCCGTCTAAGTCCATACGCAGAAATTCCTTTAAGTTGTTTAACCTTCTTACAGCCGCTTTCGTACATCTTACAAGTATTTCCCAAGACTAAATCTATTCCAACCAATATTTTTCCCTAAAATACAAAAAAGTTAATATTCTGTTAACATATTACCGGGGGTTAGCCTTCACTGCACCGCAATCTAAAAGCATGATTTAGACAGAGCTGGTAGATAGGCTACCTGAGTGAGTGTTCTGGCCATTACCTGACACACCAGTGGATTTGCGTGCTGAGCGTGTGAGGGTTGATAATACTCTGTGGTGCTCAAAAGGAGCTTATCTGTCTTTGCATGTGATTAAACTGCACTGTATGCCATTAACAATGTAAAGAATTTCTTTCCAGGAAGCAGCCCTAGAGAGACTGTATCGGTGGACTCAGAGCCATTGTCGGAACATAGAATCAGGAGACACAAGTGCCCTTCTTTCTCAGGCCATGTCACGACTGCAGGGCAGGCCTATTCTCTTTAAGTGAGTTTCTGTCATGCTTGGATGTAGTATTTAGTTGAGTGAAACCAAAACAGGTATGCACTTGCATGCCTAATCTATCAAGAGTCCTTGAATAGTTCACATAATTAGTACTTTGAGATGCATTGCGTGGTCTCATTTTGTAACTGAGGGATCAGCTGACTTCAAATGTAATATTTGTGAGTCTCCATATCTATATAAGACACTCAGAAACTTTCCTGAAATCAAATCTATAAGCATGTCATTTCTCGTTCTTTTGAAATATGTACAATATGTACCATGTACTCATTTAAAAACTTAAACTTGCCTTTATGGGAGAGTTTGTCAGGTTCTGAAAGTATGGAGTAAAATCTGTGCAAAATAAAATTGCATCTAATATTCACGTTTGTAGGAACAGGTTGAGACAGTTGCCATGAGGGAGAGAAGCTTTGTGAAGAGAGAGATAGCGACGAGGTTGCTAGGTGGCTGACATGTAGTGGAAACATTGAAAGAAGAAGACAGAGACTGTTTTGCTGTGTATTTAGGTGTATCGGAAGAAAATAATAATGTCCGTTTTCATTTTGAAAATGTGGAAGAACTACTTCTCTCAGTTATTGAATGTACAGCAGAGCCTTTTGAACCTTTAGTCCTTTTGAGGTTTAAATTGCTATTGCAAAGTTGAAAAGTTATAAATTGACAGGCAGTAATGAAATTCTGGCGGAACTGATTCAAGCAGGAGGTGAAGTATCATGATCTGAGATCCATAAGCTCATTACTTCTCTTGGGAAAAAGGAAGAATTGCCTAATCAGTGGAAAGGGTCTACCATTGTACCAGTTCACAAGCAGGGCATTGAAACTGACTGTAATAATTATCAGGGGATATCAGTGCTATCAACTTCATACAAAATTTCATCCAATATCTTTCTTTCAAAGTTAAGTCCATATATATATTAAATTATTGGGGATCGTCAGTGTGGGTTTCTGTGTAACAGATCAACTGCTGATGAGATCTTTTGCATTCATCAGATACTGGAGAAAAAATGTAATTTCAGAGTTTCCATATCTGTATAAGAAACTCTGAAACTTTGCTTTAGAATATGCCATTAGGAAGGTCCAGGGAAACCAGGTGGGACTGAAATTAAGCAGGACACATCAGCTGTTGGTCTATGCTGATGGTGTGAATCTACAGGGTGATAATATAGATACCATAAAGAAAAACACACGGAACTTTAATTCACGCTTGTAAGGAGGTTGGTCTAGAAGTAAACACATTGACAACTAAGTATATATTGCTGTCTCATCACCAAAATGCAGGGCAAAATCATGATATAAAGATATGAGAATGACAATAACAAATTAAAACTTGATTCAGGAGGAAATTAATGGGAGATTGAGCTCGGTAATGCTTGCTACCATTCAGTCCAGAACCTTTTGTCTTCTCATATGCTGTCTAGAAACATAAATATTAGAATATACAAACTATAATTTTTCCTGTGGTTTTGTATGGGCGTGGGGCTTAGCGGCCTCCGTAGTCTAGGGGTAACGTTCCCACCTCATGACTCAAGGTACGCACGTTCAAACCCGACGGAGGTCGTGGAATTTTTAAGGGCGGAAAAATTCAGGGAACAAGTCCTCCGGGAGGGACTTTAAGCCATGGGTCCCATGTCGTAGATTTACGGCACATAAAAGATCCCCATGTCTCTAGGAGACCTCTGAGCAAAATTAGGCAAAATTTCCCACCCAAGTAGTTTCCAATGCCTCCGGTAGATGGAGAAGTATCAGGAACCACTGCCAGCTTTGCTGGCTGAAAGGGGCTAATAGCGAGCACCAGTACTGGCAGAGTATGGTGAATGGTAGAATATCAAAGGGGGACGTACAATAGACTATTAGTCGTGGTGGATGGGGAAACCCACCCCCTTCAGTAATAATAATAATAAATAATAATGGGCGTGGGGCTTGGTCTCTGACATTAAGGGAGGAATACAGACTGTGGGTATTTAAGAACAACGTGCTGAGGAGAATATTTAGACCTAAGAGAGATGAAGTGACAGGAGGTTCAAGAAAACTGCATAGCGAGGAGCTTTGTAACTTGTATTCCTTGCCAAGTATAATTAGAATGATCAAGTCAAGGTGAATGAGATGGGCAGTGCATGTAACTTAAAGGGGGCAAAGAGGGATGCATATAGGATATTGGTAGGAAACACCAAGCTGTAAGTGGGTGGATAATATTAAAATGGATGAGATAGAATGGGGTGGTATGGACTAGATTGGTCTGGCTCGGGATAGAGACCAGTGGAGTGCTCTCATGAACGCGGAAATGAACCTTCATGTTCCATAAATTGCTGGAATGTTCTTGAGTAACTACACAACTGGTGGCTTCTCAAGAAGGGCTCAACTCCATGGAGTTAGTTAGTTAGTTAGAAGAAGTTGTGAATTAAAATTAAATTGATGCATTACTTTTCACTGTATCTACCAGATATTCAATTTGATAGAAATGCATTTGTTAGCTTTGAATATGACCCTTGTGAAGAGTTGGATGTGCCTTCATTCTGAGAATTTCCTCTATATAATGCATGATAATTCTTTTCAGACAAGATTTTCTGATAAATGAATATCAGTCGGTTATTTGATAGGCTGCGCTTTCTTTTGCAGGTATGTGTTGGATGAATACTGTGCTTCTCGGCGATCAGTGCTGGTGAGAGCATTTATTGATGCTTTGACTCAGGGTGGTCCAGGAGGCACTCCAAAGCCGATTGAAATGCATGCTCATGACCCAAAGCGCTACGTGGGTGACATGTTGGCATGGCTTCACCAAACTATGCCCAATGAAAGGGAGAACCTTCTCATTTTACTGAAGAGCTGTAATAAGACAGGTGTTGCTACTGTGCCTGGTTCCTGTACAGTTTTATGTGTCATTTCTCATTCACTTTAGCCCTTTCTTCACACAGGTTTTGCTTAAGAGGAAACTACCAAAGGAAATTATTTTCTATTGCAGTGTTATGATTATATAATTAACCAGTGTTCTGTTATCTTACAAATGTATATTGACAGAGGGAACTGGTGTTCTCAGCTTGATCTTGGACCCTCGTTCAAATGGTTCTGAATATGATTCCTTGCTGTATCTGTTGAGTTGTCTGTTTGCAAATCAAAACCTTAACCCTTGTCGGAGATTAAGCTTTATGCATGTGAATAATAACATGCCTTTATCCCATTGGATTGGAGCCCATGTTAAGCTTTAGTTTGTCTCATCAATCTCATGATCATTCTGACACTGGAGTAACAGAACCTGCCTCACAAATCCTTCCAGCTCAAGAATGGATTCTGTGCCATTGCACATGTATAAAGAGGCCAGATGTATGAAAAAGTGCCTTATCTGGAAGCACTAGAAAAGCAGTGTTTGTATTCGTGCTGAGCAGTGTTCCATATCCTGTGAATACACGAGGTGATTCATGGTTACATATCTTAAATATTAGCACTGGGCTTTATACTTGGTCGTAGTTAGTCGCTGGCTTTCCACCGCAGCGCCCTGGGTTCTGGTCAAGTGGGATTTGTGGTGGACAAATAGGTGCTGGGGGAGGTTTTCTCCTAGTACTTCGGTTTCCCCTGCCATTCTTCATTCCAGCAATCGCTCCACAATCACCCTCACCTATCATCTGGGGCTGGTACAATAGGCCAGAAGTGGGCGCAGTACAAGGGAATTAGTCCCATCCCACTAGCAATAAAAAAAATAGTCAGAGTACACATGACAATATTATAAGGATTGTCATGGTGCCACATAATGATTGCTTTTTGCATGAAACAGTTGCCAATAAGTGAAGCAGCAGTGGACGTAGGTCCTGTTTTGGTTGCAGTCACCAAATGGTCAGATAGAAACATGTTGACTTGTTATCTTTTTTGCTCAGATGTGGCAGAGCAGGTTCGGCAGGCACTGTGCAACATTACTGAAGGAGTGTGCCATCCATTGAAAGTACGAGTGGAACACATTCTTGCGGCGGCAGACATCGGAGCTACCGTTCTGTATTCCATCACAAATTTGGTTCGTTTTTATCAGCAAGTCATTGGACAGGTAAGAGTTCTTTGTGTACTTAAATTGTATTTGTTTGCTAGAAACATGGAAGTTATTATGTTACACCCATTGAAACTGTAATGGCAAATTGACAAGTACATCCACATTAAGTGGGTCCCTTGTTACCATATGGCACAGCACGGCACGTCCTCAGGCTGAGGAATGGAGGTGAGGGCCTCCCGACATGAAGTGCAGCTGCTGAAATATTGAATAAACATTTGTGGGTTGGCAACACAGTCCTAAGAGGGAGGAAGTTGTTCTAGAGAGAGCTTTGTGGTTTTTGCTCTTTGCAAGATATTGTCAGAATGAAGTCAGAAGGATTAGATGGGCTGGACCCTGAAGGCGGAGACAGCGTGTTCTTCTGAAGTGTTGGTTCCTGTCTATCAGACCACATGTCATCACATCCAAAAAGACAATAGTTATAATATTCACTGCCTTGAAAACTTCAAATCTCATAATTTATTATTTGCTGTGATATAATTATTTCTATTGTTCTATGTTTGTGAGGTGATGAACCTGAATATGATGCTCTCAACACCAGGTGATTCTGGGCAGCTTGCTGCAGTCTACACTTCAGGAACTCCAGGAACTAAGTGAGCAGACATTCCTGTTGGCCCTCCAGAGCCAAGTAAAGCAGCAATTGAGTGAACGTATAGACACACCACCTTCTGACCTGTCACCTTCGCCGAGTGTTTCCCAGCTGTTGAACCTGCTGCGAGAGGTTCTGTCTGTCGGCAGCATAGCTGAAAGAAGACAGCAGGATCTCACCAAGGTAAGATGTGAAAGGTTGTGTGATATTTTTCAAGTACAGGATACTCTGGAGTACCTCATTTGTGACTTATCCTTGCAGTTTTTAGGCTTGTTTGGAACTGTGTGGCATGGCTATTAAGTCCACTGGGTATTTCCGTTCATCTCTGTATGCATGAAGCAACCTGAGAACCACTAAAGAGATATTTATGAAATGTGATGTTGGATAATTTTTTTAAAAAATGTAGTGCTGTTTAATTTTTCATTGAAATCAATTGTAAAAGGTACCTTACATGATGAACTGCATCTGCATCTGTATGTATATGGAGCTTAACTTATGAAATATTTATAAGAAAGTTGTAGAGAAAAATGAAACACTCATCTTATGTGTAATATGCGTTTCCCATAACTCTTACAGTTTTTTAGATAATTAAACAAATTGAACACTGAATCTGTTTTCAATTTCCGTGTTCAACACTACCTTGTGTTATTTATGTTTTTGATTATTCATGCATCCTTGTGCTTTCATGAGTATGAATAGTCAGGAGTGTATTGTATTAGGCACCAAAAACACAGTCCAATCCCATGTCATTATTAGATGGAATTAGAAGCAAATGGAAGCTGCTTGTTTGTTCATACTGCACAGAACCCGAAGTTAACACATTTGTCATATCCATCCATATAAGCTGACTTGCTCTCTCTTGCAATTATAGGCAGCTTCAGCTGAGCCTCTTTCAGCCTCTGGAAATTTTCTGTTTTAACGGCAGTGTGATTGGCTGAAAGACTGCTGTAGTCACTAACTTCCCATACTTTGTTTACTGACATCAAATGTTCAGGTAGCTCTAGGGCAGCTCTTTTCCACACTTTTGTCCACAGTTAGCTAGAATACATTACAAAAGTGTCCTACACTGATCACATGCACCTACTCAGGTTCATGAAAACAATAAAGTACAATGATTTGGCTGGTTCTGAAGGATGCAGCCACTATGCACGTACGTCATGTAAAACAGTAGTCAGATCCCGTGACTCCATCATGTCAGCATTATGATGATGATGATAGGTGATGGCAGTAATAGAATGGTAGATTATGATTTGGACTGTCAAAGTAGACCTCCAATATGAACTTGCCTCTTGGTCCTCAGATCATCGGCACAGGACAGTCATTTCCTTAACACTCTTGTTATGTTGATCAGATTGTGTCCAGTATTGTGGACCCACTGCTGCAAGCAATAAATGAGAGTGCCACAAGACTCTCCACCACAGACATGGCTGTGTACCTCCTCAACTGCATATACCAGATGCAATCTACTCTCTCCTTGTATGAGTTTATGGATGAACGTCTTGAAAGGCTTCAGGTATGTGTTACAAGAGCTACCATTCCTCAGGTAATTAGTACTCTATTAGATTTCAGCATCTTAAATAAATATATGTGTACTGTTCTGCATTTTATTTCTTATTAATTTGTGGTTTATTTAACAATGCTGTCAGTAGCCTCAATATTATATTGTCACGTGTTGGGTATATGTCATGCGACAAATAACTTCACATCATCTTGGATGTAGCGAATTTATTGCACATTCGCTCTTACATTTACACAATTTACAATCTCACAATTACTGCCATCGGCATTATCACAGTTACGTCTCGTGCTTCCATTCAGATATATAGTGTTGAACAGGATGATGATTGGTGAAGAGGGAATCGGAAAGGATATGGACATAAATGGTTGTGATCTGATTGAGATACTATTTGGAGGGACTCAAGATACTCAGTGTCCAGGCTGGGATTTGAACCGGGCACATCTCAACTCAGAAGTTTTACTGCTTGAGCCAAGATGCTCAGTATATTTGTGTCTTGATGCCATTTTCCCTGTATATAGTAATTACTCTTAAATTTTTAGTGTCTTTTGTATCCATTAATTATTTATGATTTCTTTACATGCAAAGGCCCAGTCTGATGCTCAGCTGGACACATTAACTTCAGAGCAGGCAAGTTCATTGGTGGCCAATTTGAATCTTGGCCCAATCTACACCATTCTGCAGGATCAAGGCAAAGGATGTCTGTCTTCGATTCCAGGCATGGAACCAGCGGGGCTCAAGAACTTTCTGGTTTGTATATACTCTTCTTAAACTGACACACGTGTTGGATATTCTGCGTCTCTTTTGGTTAAAGAAAGTGTCTGGAGACTTTCTTTGCTTCCAGGGTCAGATTAAAGCAGCATTTTTTCCCCCCAAAATGTGTTTACCAGTACTGTCATGCATGTATTTAGCCTCGGTGTCGAAACATACATTGCACTGGCTGATGTGTGATTTTTGACACATTTGTTAGTGGTTGTACTGGTGTGTGCCAGGTGAAGAGAAGAACTGTGAAGAACTGTGAGAAACTGTGGGCTGCTTTCTGAATGGTCATGTTATTTAACCAGAAATGAGACAACGGGAAGTATCCAGCGTACAAGTACTTGCCAGTTGAACAACACATCTTCACAAAACTTTTAGACTTATTTTACACTTTTCTGTTTCTATTATTTTTGGATGTTTAGTGTAAGTTCCCAACAGACACTATTGCCTGTATATGTGATAATAACAGAAAAGATGTAAGACTGCCTTTCTGTGTGTCCTGGATGGGTCCTGCTGCCCTTAAGTGTGTGCACAATTTTTCAAATTTCAGAGCAAGTTGGATGCGTTCCTGGTGATGCCAGATATGTTGCTGTTGCCTCAGATCGGCTTGCTGCTTAGTAGTCTTCATCGTTCCACTGTACAGCACCGGGCATTTGAAGTGATTGCTGCTATATACAGACAGTTATATGAAGCAGTACATGATGCAGAGAACTTGTACCAGAACCCAGGGATCTTGATGCCGCGTACCCCTGACCAAGTCCTCAAGCTCCTTACTGGGTGAAACAGTGAACTGAAAGCAGTGTCCCTACCTGACTTGACTTGTGTAGTATAACAGCAGCTGTTCAGGCAACAAACCTACAATATCAGATTCAGTAAAACACGAAAGTGGATTCAATAAACATGACTGCTGTGCTGGACATTCATTGTCCATTATTTTGAATTCTTTCCAGCATCATTTTTCATAAACCTGATGACTTTTAAGGGAGGAAGTGATTGAGACTGACTCATTCTGATGGGCCCAGCCAAGTACGAAACTTTCCTCTACAAAAGCATGCTCAACTTACAAGTGTTCTATTCTTAGATTTTTTTCACACATAGACAATGTTCAGAATAGTAGTCGTGCTTACTGTAACACACTGTCATTAGAAGAACTTGGAAATAGCGTAAGAAGAACACTGACTGTATATATTTCTAGTCCCATGTCATTTCATGTCTAAATAATGAAGCATTACAGAACGTAAAATGTCAGTTCTATTTTTTACCTCTTGTGACTGAAGCAGGCATTAAATGCTTTGTGCCTTACCCTTTTTTATGAACCTTTGTGGCATTATTATTCTGATTTCCTTACATCATGTGAAAGATGCACATCAGTACACTGCAGATACAGTGAAGTTTCTTGCGCTGCTGCTGCTGTTAAGAGACCCTGCATTACATCCTTCAGCAGTATGCTCTCAGTAGACAGCACGATATCATATATTTGTGTTCAGCATTTCTAGTGACATAATGTTAACCACAGCACAATGCCAGCGTGTGATCATGTTTGTTGAAGGATCCATCAGATTCTGAGAAAGAACCGACTTGAATGGAAGCATTATACCAGAAAGCTAACAGTATGGCATGTGTTTCTCGTACAGTTTTAGCGGCAGTATAAAGAGTGGTGAGGATGTATATTGATGAAGGCTACAATTGAAGGTAGTGTTTTAGAATATTCTATCTAAAGGTATGTGTGATTTGGGAGGCACATGGTAGCACTATGCTACAAGCTGGAAGGTCACATTTAAATTGATCTAATGCTTCCAGCTGCACTATTGCCCTGGAATCGACTCCACCTCTAACAGAAATGAGTACCAGGAATTTTCCTGGGTGGTAAAGGGTGACAGGCATAAGGCTGACAACCTCGCCACCTATCTGTGAGCTGCTTGTCTAGAAAATATGGGATCCTTGATGTCTCTCAACCTTATGGGCTGTTACAGGGTTAGCTTTATCCTTTTTTTATGCATGATTTGACACAACTACCCATTCCATCTGCAGTAGTAAGAACAATAGCCATGTTTTGTTCATGATCGGGACATTGTGTGAATGGGTGCTATATGTGTCATCAGTTTTTAAGAAAATGCATATTCTCCACACAGTTTATTTATGTGCTCCATGTGGGGATCACAGTAAGCACTCATTGTTTCACAAAGTTAATAGAAAGTCCGTCGAGTGTAACAATTTGTAGGTCACTTCTTTATCACTTCTGCCTTACATGTTTCGGTTTGACACAACCATCATCAGAGGCACTTACTACAATTATGAAAACACTGTCGTTGTTTATGATGTTCACAGTTATGTTTGTTGTGTGGACGCTGCTACAATATGTTGACGTGTAAAAGCACAACACTTGCTAGGATAGTTGAGTACACTATCAATTCTCACTTTCCATCCGAAACTGTTTTTAAGT